TCATCCAAAGCCAGCAGAGTTTGTAATACTACAAAGATTGGTTAACGTTGTCTTTAGGAGCTGCATACAGAGATCCATGGGAATTCCACGTAAATCATCTTAAAGACGTGCGCGTGCATGGAAAGCAAAACATTTGCTCGTATATACAGACGTCTCTGAAGTTACACCCGTCTAAAAGTTCAATCGTGTATATTATATACCTGTCTTTAATGGCCACTGGTTCCGCGAAATATAAAAGGTCGATTGTCTATGATCCTTCGAGTGGCCTTTAAAGACAGGTTTGATTGTTGAGGTTTTGTTAAAACTTTTTTCAGTTCACCTAGTTACATCTTTAATATTTCCGGTGTAGTTGTATCCATGTATTTACTTAATTATAGTGATGTGCTGGATTTAACGTTGATTTAAAATGATTTTTACTTGACAGAGAAAAGTTTTAAATACAGTTTGATATGCTGTCTTTTGAAATTGTATATAAACATAATTTTGAAATATTGAAAAATATCGATATTTGTATGATCCCAGCAATGTTGTTGGGTGTACGAAAACTAACATCCAGTGCTGTGACAGATCTAGGGTTTCATGGTGACCTGTATAATTTACAGAAGTAGAAATCCGATCTCATTTATATCATTTCTTGCCTAATTGTTTGTAATTATGGAACATAACTCATTATTCTAATTGATACAAATACCGAATTGATATTCTTCCACGCTGCCTTTACTTACATATCACAAAAAGTATCCGCCAGGGGCCGAGATCGTCAACTTTTGACGGGTTGAAATTAATCCTTCCCAATGGTGTAATTAGTGATATCTATCATGTAATGACCTACTAACTCTATTTCCAAATCCGTTTGAATCAGTTGTAGCAATGAAACAAGATTATTTGATTACCTGGCTTAAATATTCATCTATTCCTTATATCGAGAACAATATACAGTGTACGAAAGATGAAAATAGTTCGGATTGCCTTTGTCTATTTGACACTCACGGCTATGTACTCAAGGCAGTACAGTCGTGTGTAAGAAATATGTATCATTTGAAAAAGTCATTTTAGTCTAAGAAAGGAAACAGCTTTGCTTTCAAATAAGTATACATGATAATGTACATGACAATGGTCAATGGCTGCCGTTGTCGTAAAGACTGTTGCTGCTACCATGTCTAGAAACGACAATACCCACCCCTCATCCCCCCCCACTAAAAAAATAATAAAAAAAGGACTGTCCTATCTCCGGCGTCATTCTATGTAAAGCTGTGGCAAAAAGCGTTTTTATTGCTAAAGAATATAGAATAAAGATGAATAATAATGCAAATGTCAGGAATTTATTTTTTCCCATTTTCACCGCCTGAACATTGGGTTATTTGTTCGTGAAATTTGTCCAGAAACGCAATCGTAATTTGTTAAAAATTCCGAAACAGGAATATAATTTATTATTATATTTTATAAGTGGTCACTATTCCTGTTGTTTTCTTGTCTGCTTTATTTCTACTTTTCTTGGCACCATGTATCAATCTCATACATAATTGTACGCGTAATGTTATTCCTGGTATACCTGACGGAAGCCAATCCCCTATTGATCTGGAAGTACCTGTATATAATGTTGAAATCGGACTGAAAGTTAACGAAAGATAGACAGTTTTTTTCATCCTCATCCTTGGACACCATCTATTTATGACTTTGTCTGTTGTGAGGATTCAAAACAACAACTAATAAAAGATTTGCATAATCAACAAACCAGACACAGAAGGAGTACCTTGCCACCTTTAAATACTTAGATGTACTCAGTATTCTAATGAATGGCAAACGTGACCCATGTTTGATAAGGTTCAAAGCTTTTGAAGATGGAAAGAGGTTTTAATAGCATCGTCTTGATAACAGGCGCCTCTCAAATTTCCCACAACTTTCACAACATGCTACGAAACTTTACCATTAAACATGTATAGTCACTTTCAATATGCAATATCGTCATGTTTGCTCTACCCAACGTACAAGCAAAAGGTACAATGGTACTCCTAGTGATAATCAAACACAGCGTTATTCCAGTACACACTCGGCACATCGTTCGTATCAAAACAAAAAAAAACATGTGGCTTGTTTTAGACTATTCAGGTTCAAAGCTATTCCTTATGGCATGGACATCTTAACGATGGGGAATCGATTAATCCCGCATTTGACGTCGCCGAATACAACCGTCTCCTCAGGGAATTGTGAATCTTGGTCTGTCAGACCTGGGGCGTTTGGTCGCTGTCAACGTGTAGCTGAAACGGCAATTTAGCTGTTGGAGTGCTGTTCAGTTTGACCTTTTGACGGAAATCTTTAAATCAACATTCTAGCAACGAAATTCATAATAGTTTGGAAAATTCATTTAAAAATGAACTCACTGTGGAGAATTCTGAGTGGGAAAGTAATTATTGAATGTGTCAACCGTATACTAAGACATTCCTGTGTAATTAAAATGATGACAACGCATAATGTAGTAATTTGAATATGGACATTACTCCGGAAAAAGATATGAATGGGCACCATCGGCAATCTATTTCAAGGAGACACTAATTAATCAAGGTTCGGACATAGAATGAACAACCAGCTGAGATGATAAGTAATGTTACATGTAAAATAAGAAGTATGGTGCCGATGTTTACTGTTGAAAGGAATGTTAGTTTGATGACTTAAACAAATTAAGCGGATTAAGCAGTAACATTTGGCTGCTATATTTGGAACTTCTCCGTCTAAACCATATTTTAGTGCGTACGGACAATGTTCTCAATCAAAGACAAAATGATCGGGTTTGTGGATCATACTATACTCAATAGCATTGACTACCTCTGAAGATAGAAGTTTTAATAAGAAAAAAGACACCGTTTTTGTATCTGGACTTCAAAATAGCCGCTAGCCGTAATCGTGAACATTAATAGAAGGGTATCGCTTCTCAGACGTCATCAGATCATTTTTGTGGCAAAACAGACAGTTCTGAAAAAGTGGAGCATTGTGCTACGTACATTTTCTGACCTGTTTCAGCATGGCACATTGGACTGATTTACTTAAATTACACTAACGAATAAAAAATGTGCTTATTTGTAAACTCAATATTAAGACAGATGTGATGCGGAATGAGATTATACATTACAAATAACCTATTTTTTCTGGGAGGTTAATGTGTAGGGGATGGAGGGGTTGGGGGGTTGGGATGGGTGTCAAACAAATGATTTGGTCAAGTTAGATCACTTAAACAATTTACATTTTTTTCTCACAACTTTTACATTTCTGTATATTGTGCACCTATAATTTGTGAATTACGATATTGGAATATGACAACCAAGGTCAACATTACGTCGGGATAACATTATACAAAAGGAAGGGAATATACATTGTGTAATACTCTCTAGCATATCCAATCCGTCTGGTCGTTTCTTGTAAGTCAGGTTAAGGAAAGACAACTGTGGACCGGTTGCCTCGGATCGTCAAAGCACGTGTCGCATTCCTAGAGGGCACATGTATACGAGTCGGGTAGAACTTCGTGATTTACGTCTATCACAGCGAGAGTAATCACCGACATGTTCATAACTGACTATCAAACAGGACCATAGTCCTATAGTCGATTGACTTTCTACAAAATAGACCTTACTGCAGTCTGACTTTCCTGAAAACGACAACATTCCCGGTTCTCGACTTTCCGGAATGTTTCGCCATAGGCCCCCTACATCATCCGCCAGTTGGATGTAATACATGTAAATCTTTCTGCTGTACGACAACTGCAAGTAAATGCACAGCTTCCGTGAAAAGTTGTCATATGCAAAATTTAAATATCTTTCCTGTTTGTTTAATTTGAAGCAGTTACCTAAGAAAAAACAACATCATTTGATGGTGTAAACAATTGTTTTTATAATTTTGACGAAATAGTGAACCTTGTTGTAAACACAGGATTCACAGCACTACATGTGTCATATCACAGGCCTTTAGGAACCTTTTGGAATTTGTTTAACGCAGTTTGCTGGGATGCCTCTCAGATTGCTATAAATAACACCCAGATAAGTTTTATCATCATCATCATCATCATCATCATCATCATCATCGTCGTTTTAATTGGTTCGTGGTTAAAATTCTATTGTTGCAGAATTGTCCTTTAGAATATCGTTTGTAAATTAGATACTGGGTAGAATACCATGAGAAAACAACACAATATTTCCGACGGTAGGGCTTACTAGGGTAAGAATACTGTCGTGTATAGTCGTCAACATCTCGGAATGTTCGCTCCGAATCACATTTACAAGTCATAACTTTAGGGATGTTTACAAAAGGTTTGGATAAAAAGTATAGATTTTCCAGTCCATATGTTTATCATCAGTTAAGGGAAAGAGAATGCTTGAAGTGCTTAACGAAAAGAATAATTTGTGATGCAAACATAATCCAGCTGGTCAGCATAATTTTGATTACTGTCCAAACAATGTTTTTGTTCATAAAATTGACTTTCCCTCACTTTATCATTTTCTTTTCAATTATGCTTGAAAGTAATAAAATCAGTTTACTACATTGTATTGTGTGTAGGATGTTTCAATGTATTTAGTCATCATTGGCAGTAAAAACCTTACAAATATATGTTCTAATAAATAAACATTCATAAGAATGTTTATGCAGGTTTTCGTGCTAAACTATCGGGCACGCGTTATGAAGATTTCATTCACAGTGACGATGAACGAGAATAGATTATTTTATAGCTTTGAAGAATTAAAAGTAATAAATGTTATGTGTGGGGCAAACGCTTTTGTATTTGAAACTATACTCTGTTTACATCAAGTCAAATATTGTTCCACCTCAGTAAACTAAAAATTTCTTAATTTTGGTTTCCAAACAAATCGACACGTTCAGAAGAAATATTATGAATTGTGATTTAGTCCGGATTCTGCCTGGTTTCTAATTTACACAATTTTCACGTGGTCAACTAAACGCTTGTCATTATGCACTGAATGCATGAAAGCGGTTTAAGCTCTCGTCAGCGTCAGTAACAAGGAAATTTCGTAAGTCTGGTCCGATAAAAAGGAGGTACGTAGTAAACAAAAATATGCATATAAATATTATTGTTTATGTCAGGACGAGCTATTAAGGAAATACACTACTTATGAAACAAACGCCTTGTTTATTACAGCACGCCATTGAAACATGCTGTCAATGCTAACTGCAAAGTAAAATGACAAGGAACAAATTGACATCATATTGTCAAATGATGATATTATCTTATCAAGTGTACAAAATGTAAGGTGCATGAGGATAGTTCAACATTGAAGTCTACCTGACGAATGTCGCTACGATACTGGTAGCAATAAAACACACCTCTTTGAGGAGTGAATTGGAAATTGAACGCAATGAAGGAATATGGGTGCTGAATGGGTTTAGTATGTAAAATGTACATGTACTTGTTATTTGCCCCCTCGTGACATTGATAAAATGGTTAATTATCAACTAATGATTATAATGTTGCTATCAGCAGTGTCACTAGTACTGTATAGACCTGATATTTTGCCGTATCATGCCCTACTTTATCTGTAAATTGTAAACACCGCATGTTTTTTCATCACTTTTGCTCATGAATTAAAAAATAATGTTTGGATTTACATTGTCAAAATAATGGTCAAACATGACATATAGCATAATATCAATACATTGTGGATAATAAGAAACCTTCTGGCTGATATTTTATATGTTTTTACATGTTCATTGTTCATAAACTGTACTAGTTAGAACCTAAAGGTCAACTGGATAAGAGCATATAGCCTGTGTTGAACCTTCAGCCCCAACAGCAGATATTTTGACTGATTCAATACATGTGTGTTCTAGGACCAACACTATCAGTCTTAATATACATTTGTACTGAATAATTTCTTTTCTGTTATACTTTTAGGTTGTGTGACGTGTGCAACCAGTCCTCTCATCATGAAACCTCATGATAGAAAATATTCTGCACAAATTTTTCTATTTCTAGTATTTTTACTGTGTCTCCTTGATAGTATTGCCTCTGAAAACCTTATACAGACAATCAATGATACCATTGGTGCTGAAAACTACACATATTACAGAGTAACAGGAGTTGGAAGGCTAAGACTGGAACTCGTTTCAATGCAAGGTGATGCTGATTTATATGCATCTCACATAACGCTAACACCGACATATAATGATTATGAACTTAAAAGCACAACATGTGGTATAGACATAGTGGATATCCCTGCATATTTACAGAGACCTATTGGAGTGGCAGTGTATGGCTATCCGGTAAAGAGCAATGAATCAATATACAGTCTTTCAGTTTATTTTGTAGACCAATATGATGATGAAGATTATTCATTTCTGGATTCAAAATATCATCTGACGGATACAGATGGTGCAAGTCGTGTTGGAGCAGGACAACGAGATCAAAAAAGTCAGCAGACCCATCAACATACAGAAGAGGAAGAAAAAACAATTTCAGACTTTGTTTGGACAATTCTCCTTACTATTCTTAAAGTTGTTTTTGAAGTTTTACTGTGAAAATACATCAAGATACTATGATCAACACCCTCCTACTATTCAAATTGTATGATACCTCAGGTTACAAAATTACTAATAGAAAATTTCAACTGTTAAGTGTTATCCAGGCCAAAATCTGTTGTTCTCTTATGGTGATATTTTAATGTTCCACTTTTTTGGTAAGGTGTAGAGATTATTTTGGTTTAAGCATTAATGACTAATCCTTCAGGTATCTTTTGTGATTTTTTTGTCTGAAGTTATGAATTTTTCATTCGTCAAATTTGCAATCACGTATTTGACATTCTGATGGGTTAAAACAATAAACATACTGGACCTAAGTTTGTGTAATAACATAAGTTGTATAATGTGTAAACATGTCTTGTAACTTAGAAAGTAAAACTCAGGAAAGATTGATTATGAAGAATTGAAAATAAAAGAAATGGAATACATGTAGAATAGATTGATTTATGAAAATAGTCCAGACACTCATACTGTCTGACCTCTTGTCAATATTAGAATATATAGAATAAATCTGCCCTAAAAAAATCCAAACAAACAAATCAAAAGAATACAAATGAAAAGAAATCCTTAATTTGTATCTAAAATGGAAGATCTGTAGATTAATGATGTAAAGACAAAAGCTATGGTCAACAAAATAACAAAACACTAAAAGTTTCAACAACCTCATCACAGACCCAATGTGATCTCAGCTTTTATTAAGGTAGATGGTTACCTAGCTAATTCAGGTGATATTTAAATATACTTACATTTTACAGACTTTAGAATTTTTAATACGATCTCTAATGTATGTGATCTTTTGATTTCAAGTGCTTCTGAACATCGATGGTGTATCTATTTGACTCAAGTGATCTCTAGCTGTGTTGAGATTGTCTGGAGATGTTTTTCGACACAGGTGATCTTTTGTTCTGTGGTGACATAGGTGATATCTTTATAGTCTAGATGATATCTGTTGAAACCGGTGATCTCATTATAGAGGATGTGTGTTGACAAAGTTAATCTCTGAGGATGATTAGACTTGATTAAAACACAAATACACATCTAGAATCTTGAGGCCTTCAAAAACAACAGAAAGATACACACAACATACCAAATTTATGATCTCTCAAATTGAATGTTGATTAATATTTAAATAAAAGCAAATCAAAACAAATCTTTAGCAGTTTGCTGTATTTCATTTGACCATGTGCCTTATATCAGTATTTCCCATTCAGTTAATACATATAGTGTTGCTCATTATTAATAGAACAGCTTATGTTTTCTCCCTGACAAGTGTATTGCAATATGAATGTTAATAATATATACATGTGTACCACAACATCTTCATTTAATGTAAACACAATAAACGAAATGAAATGATACTATAATTTTGCCTACCAAACTTGTATGCCCTGGAATTTTAGAATAAACTTTGTATCTCCAGGAATTGGTCCACATGTGCTCAGCTGTATTGCTTACTTACATCAAATACATTGTATAAATGTTTTTTTGTTAAATTTGTTTTCATTTTCAGGTATGAAAAGTATGAAATCTTCCTGTTTCACACTATATATATATTACAGCAAAGTGATCAGCTCTGTATTAAAGTCTGAAATAGATACTAGGTCTGTATTTGTTTCAGTCATGATCTACTGAGATCTACATGTGTGAGGGGAACAGAAGTGTGAACTACTGTTCAATTATATATTTTTGTGAGGTTCAGTTTTGGAGGTGTTAAAAAAAATACTCTTTTGTTGACACTAGATTTTAGATTAGTAGAAATCTCAAGTTTTTAGCAGTTAACCTGTAGACTAAGTCCCTTCACAATTAACTTTTATCAGATGTTTTTGCTTTGTTATACTAGTAAGACATGTCACAATATGCTTGACATGAAATCTTCATGTACATTTAACTGGACTAAAAAATGGTAGAGGGAAAAGATGTCATGTTTTAAGCTTAAAATATATCTTTATTTTATTCCACTTTTTTTGGACCTTATGTTGGATTTCAATAAATGGATATTGCCAATGTTATTATTAACAGAATGATCTTGAAATTGATGGAAATGTTTTTAAGTGATATTTCAATAATAATAGACCTTGTAGTGTTGTAAAAATGTTGCTTTATGCTATTTCAATAATATTTCTGCAGTTTGCAAGTACTTATATACTGGTTGAGTAGAGCAGACTCTGGTGTCTATATTTTTATATGATATCAGCACTACTAATTAACTATTGTATAACTATGTCTGTGTCTTTACCTTTATTATATTATAGTTTATATTCATTGTTATAATCCACGGATAAATTTCAAGGGAGCATATACACTGGTAATAGTTGCCTTTTGGTCATGAAACTTAGTGTATACATTGGTCATACTTTGACAATATGTAGTGTACTAAATGTAGGGGCCACAACCCCTTAATTATAGAGATACATAAATTACCCTTTGTTAAAATTTCATGTTTGGCGCATTACTTTAAATTGCTTCCATTTAAAGGAAAAAAATGAAACATGTATATATTGGTCATGCTTAGAAAATATGCAGTGTATTAAAATCAGGGTCTGTAACCCATTAATAAGAGAGTGATTGCCCTTTGCTAAAATTTGTGTCCAGAGCAGAGCTTTGCTTGCATAATGAGACTTGGTGTTTTCCTTGGTCATATTATGAAAATGTGCAGTGTACAAAAGCTAGGGCCAGCACCTTCGTAATGATAGAAGTGTTGTTCTTTGTCAAAATTTTGTTTCCAGTTTTGTTTTTGGGATATTCATCAGTTTCACTTATACCCTTGGTTGATGTGATCCTCACTCATCCTCATCTGTGACTCAATATTCTGATAGCATTGCAAAAATATTCTCTATACATGTAAATCATGCAGTGTGATTTATATCCACAATTGTTGTAGGTATTGTACCTGGATTATATTGTATTTCTTTATTGACTGAAATATGCTTCATATCTATAAATTATTAGATAGAAGTCTAAATATCGAAGTCATCCAACTTGATATTATTTGCATGTACAATAATAAATTTCCTATGCACCTGAGTTGAAGACTTGAGGTGTATCGGTTATAATTATCAGTGTTGATTTAAAAAATCATATATATATATACTCGGTAAATCATCAAAATACCCTGCTAATATTTGTACATGTAGATGTACTGCAATGAGATTGCTGTCAGCGTGAACTTACATAAACATATTGTACCAAACAATCTAGATTTTTTGAAAATTATGTTCCCTAGGTTGGTAATGTCAATAGAAGTTCTTGTTATACAACCAATCAAAAATTGGATTGTTGTTTTGATGACTACACGGTCTCCCTCATCAGACAATTGACCAGTGTGGAGCGTACAAGCACTGACGTACATGTATGTAGTGTACTTTTTTGGTTTTACTTTAATCCTATGTACACTAAGGTGGTAAATAGTGTGATGAGATAATAAACAGATTACAGAATTTTAAAAAAAGTCACAAGATGGTAACAATGTACTGAAGTCAATTCTGCTTCGCTTTTGAATTTTCTTTGTTTACTCGCAGTGCCCGTCCTAAACAATTTCGTATACAGGTCTGTTTTACGTATAAAATAAATAAATATTTATGTGTTTTACTCCATAGAGGTAGATAACACATTGGAAGGCATTAGTGATGCAACAAAAGCTTTATTTGATGAAGAATGTCTTAGACTGTGTCTGGAATTGATTGAAAGGGAGATAAAAAGTTTCCATTCCTGGTGGAGATATTGCCTTTTCTATTATGTGCTTTGTTAACAATTTTTTCGAATGTACATCTAATTTGTGTTAGTGAAGAGATTTGTCTCTTTTCCATAATACATATATGTACATACTGTATATGATTATATATGCAGTTATTAAAGGTGCATTTGATAAGTGATGGAATTACAAAATAATTTATAAGAATAAATTGTATAGTTTTGTAAACTGCTTCCGAGTTCAACTTGTCTTTTAGCAAAAGGATCATCATTTTGATCTTTGGTGTTATGAAGATGTTAAATTCTCTGCAAGTAAATACTCACTGCAGTCATCAAATCTCACAATGTGTGGGGCACAAAAATTACAGTGTATATTGGTATTGAGATCCCAGGGTTATCATAAGCTCACCTTTGTTTGGTCCTCATTTCTTCTTCTTACATGTGAGTTTTCCCTTTTTTTTCTCTTTATTACATGAAATTCAAGAATTCCTTTAAAGAAATCAATGTAATAATCTTTAACTGTGCAATTAGATATGGTTGCTCATCAGACATCTTGATTTTTTTTCCTGAACAGCCCAGAAAGGCACAACTAGAAATTTGGGAACAAACATATTAGATTTGAGATATATCCCTCCTATGTATCTCAAGAAATAGTACATAACAAACTTCAACTATCAAATTCCAAGATAGCTATATGTCTGCCATTTTGTTTCACTGGCCAGTCTCAAAATGGAATAGATGCTAAAAAGGACAGAGGGAAACCTATTAATGCATATGAGAAATATACCTCTAATACTCTCAAGAAATAATGACAACTTCAACTGCCGAACTCAACGATGGCTGCCAGTTGGCTGTCACTTTGGTTCACTGATTGAACAACTAGAGACGGAGGAGTACCAGCATCTAGAAATAACAATATGTTTGTTTATATTGCACAGACCACAGACAAAGGGCAATTTGAACTGGCTACAATCTGACGATAGTGTGAATAAAAATTGTTGGTAGTACTGCAAGTTCAGTTACCTAGGTCTGTAGCTCTAAATTAAAATAAACACTCCATTCTTCTTTTGTGGTACTGGCAGGCCAATATTGCAGATAATACCCTTGTCAAATTATTTTAAAATGGGCATTCTTACAAGAAATTATGTATCACTGGATGATTGTACATACTGATAGTGCAATACCAAGTTTAAAAAAAAGTTAGATTATTTACCTTTTATATAAAAAGTAACAAATATTTAGTATTTTAACATTATTTATTCAATATCTGATACACATGATCCTCTCAGCACTCTGTTTATCCAACAATACACACATTTCTTTTCAAAGAGTACTAAATTAATTGATTCCTTAAAATGGATTCAAGGAAAGTTTTGTGTTTTCACATAAAATATACAATATCTACACACAGCACAAAGCCCAATATTGAGATAAGGAAATGGTTTGTAGATCAGTAATTACTGAAGGTAAAAAAACTGTTTTCTGTCTCCTAGAATTCCAACCTAATCATATTAAAATTCTGGTGAGGACAATAGTTTAAGAGATGACAGAGTGACCAATATTCATTCTAAATAACTTTTTAAAAGAAAGTTATGCATATCAGTATCAATTACATACCATTCAATGCTAGTTATCCTGAATGGAAAAAAATATAACAATTACACAATATCATTTCTGAAAAAGTGCTGTACATTACACAGCAAGTTGAAAAAAATGCAACTGAAAACAATAAGAAGAAAATAGTAAGTGGGTGTCTTCTAATTGAGCTCATATTTCTACATCGTACGTACATAATGGTCACCCGTTTGGTTTGATTTCTTTCTGGACAATAGAATACACATAATTTTATACCATACCCATTGCAGTAATTATCAAAATCATTTGTGTGTTTTTGTAACTTTACCTGTATACTGTATACATGTATCTGACAAAAACCTTATACATAATTGTAAGCACAGGAACTTAACATTAATTCACAACCCACTGTGCTTGTGTACATATATATATATATACAATATACTGACTGTTTGGTTGGAAATTCATGCCAAGTCCAACTGCTTAAACACTTTTATGGTATTTTATACATGAGAACATTAAGAGAAAGTCATCTGTTAAAGAAAACTTTATTGAAAAATAAATAACTACAATTAACGATGGGGAATCCCCTTTACCAACATCATCAAATAATTTAAATCACTTGATACCCTCCATAAGTTCTTCTGTACTGTACTTTCTAAATTTTATCATCAGTTTGTGTGTCTTAATAATAAATTGTTGTCATCAATCTAGTCTGGGTCTTTGTCAGTGACTTTTAGTCAATTTGGTGTCTTTATAAGAAACATCAGAGTTATCAGTTCAAAACAACCATAAATATGAATTTGGCAGGTTTCTTTGGAAATAAGATACACAATGTAATTGTTTTAGCCTTAGGTTAACAGGAATCACTTGGGGAACATTTAAGAATTTGTAAACATGCATACCAACCAACACACTCTTCAGAAACACAACATATTTTGGTCAAATAAAACGTTCTTAGGCTGACACACCTACCAATCTTTGGTAATAACATACAGAACTTCTCATCACACCATTCTGTTCTGAAATTTTGCACATCAATTCTTCATCCGAATAAAATACCTCTCACATTCCAATGTTTGTAACCAAATATTTCAAATTTAACATACGTATCATATCTCACACTCACCTGCATAATTACTTGCAAAAGGCACCATGATCATCATATTCTGTCACTCATCAAATACTGATACATTATCTTTCTAAAGTGTGTTTGCAAATAATCATGAATAAAATCTCAATTCAATAATATAAAGTCCATGAAATATCTCATACCCAAGTTTAATGTGCTGACAACTGTAAACCCCTACAGCACTACCAGCCATTAACACAGTAGCCTGAACAATTTTGATTGATATATAAAAAAAACCAAAAGAGAATGACTGAACAATTCAGACTATGTTGACCATATAATTTCATCATCAATGACATCAATCCCATCTTTTTAGTAAATGTCTTTTTCTTCCAGATCTAAATCCTGATGTCTTTATCATAAAATTTCAGCTAACATAATAAATGGCAAAACAGTTTATCAAGTCATGGCATCTTGTCCGTACAAACTAGTACACTTATGATGAAATGATAATGATCCTTGATATGTACATAATAACAGGGACTGGTATGCACTACTATTGCTTCTTAAAACCCTTTAATATAGGGTAGATGTTGTCAAATGCTTCATAGATCTCCTCTCTCACTTTGGCACCTGAAAAAACGAATTCAAAACAATTAAACTCTGTTAACATGATTTTCAAATACAAAATTTACTATTTTTTTTCTCATGAATACACACATATAATTTACTATTCAACAATTCGGAGTTATATGTTGCTTTTATAGTCCTGTGTAAAGTATATCTAAAACTTATATATGTACTTAAAACTTTGTCAAAGCATGACTTCTGATCGAGTATCCAATGAAGACATTTTGACCAAGTTTTACTTTCACTGGAGTTTTTTTTACAATTTTTGTTTTGTTTTGACTTTTATTTTGAGTTTATTACAAGTGTTTTATGGCCTATCTATAGATAGATCAAGGAACCTATTGATGAGATCTTGCAAGTTTTTAGACTAATTGATTTAATGACTTACCTGTCAACACAACTTTTCCCGAGACAAATATCAACAATACAATTCTAGGCTTCACCATTCTGTAAATAAGACCTGGGAATAACTCAGGTTCATAGCTGAAAATAAAAGAAAAGTACAAATTTCAACATATATCAAGCATTTTTTTCATGCCATCAACACTACTTACATCAGTTGTGTTGGTATGACACTTTGAATGGTTGACAAAGTAAGCAATTAAAATACCCCGAAAAAGAAAAACAAATTCAGTTTTCAATCTCAGACTCTGGCAAATCATAAAAGCACAACTGAACAAAGGGCAATAACACTGTGTCCGGTATCTTAATAAACATAAACACACAACTGATAGTAAAAATGCCATTGTAAGATGTACTTGCATAAACTAATATTGGTAGTCATTTTGTCTTTTTCTCCATTATTTATTTAAAACATAACCTACAACTGACTTGTAAGACAACTAATTTCCTCTAAACTTACGTAGAGAACTGGCCGTGACTGAGCACTAAACCCTCTAACCGGATTGGAAATTTCACATCACAGCTTCCGACCATATTTTGGATTTTGAAATCCAGAAATTTTGCCTGAAAGGAGACAAAAGAAAGAAAATGTGAACAGCAATAACGTTCTGGAACATTTCTTGAAGGCTAAATTTTTAAAAAATGAGACAGGTTCAAAGACACCTATACTGAATTTTGAACTTTTAATTAACAGCTTAATTTCAAAACATTATGAGACAGGTTCAACGACACCTATACTGAATTTTGACCTTTTAATTAACAATTTATTGCCTTTACCACCAACACTGTATTATATATTGCTCACACATTAAGTATTGCATCCCCACTGAGGGAGCAGATACCGTTTTATGAAAGTGAGTAGACACTTACTGGAAAACCAAGCTTTTGTACAATTCTTGCATATTTCCTTGCTGCCAGCTTAGCTTGTTCCTCACTGTTATTACGAAAAAAACCCACATGATACAGAATTCAGAAGTTAACAGCAAACATTTGAACTTCAATATTTCAAAATTCAATTATTATACAAGAACTTTATGCAGCTTGCAGAGCCATGACCTCAAAAAATATGTCAATTTCTATTTATAGTAACATTGACCTAGTTTTTCACTGCAGAAGGTTGAAATGCAAACTTGCACAAGACGTGATGCCTTGGAAAATGTAAGTGAAGTATATATTGAGACAGTCTGGTAAGAAATGCAAACTGTAGATTGGTGACATCATTTTCAATTCATGGTAGCTAGTTTTTGACTGCAGATGGTTGAAAAGTGAACTCACACAAAAGCTGATGCTTTTAAACAAATATGTGAAGTATCATGACAACTGGATAACAAATGCAGCCTGTAGAGCAACAATGTTTTTTTCTATTCATAGAAACATAAACATTGCTTTTGATTGCAGAAGGTCTAAACACCAACTTGCACAAGATGCTGGTGAACACCTGTGAAGTATCTTGACAGTTGAATATGAACTGCAAACTGTAGTGCGGTGATGTCAATGGGGACACATATGGACGTATGTACACATGGAAGGATCCCTATATACCCACGACAATTCTGTTGAGATCAAGATATAACAATGACCATAATTGTCATGAGTGTCAATGATTTAAGTTTTAATAATTTAACACCAAACATTCAGCATTGATACCTTTTTGCCCCAGTGCACACCATTTTTCCAGAACTGAAAATAAGAGCTGTCGTGCGAGGATCTCGGATTCTCATAATAACAGCAGCGAAACGTTTTGGATTGTACTCAGCATTTCTTGCATGAAGTGCAATTTTCTTCAGATCTAACTTGCATCCCAAATTTACAGTACACACAATATTTCTGCAATGGAATTTATCACAAATATTACTGGTTTGCTAATTTTCATCATATCCATAAATAAATTTATGATATACAACAAAAAAAGTATAAGTTTTTAGCATATAACTCAGTCATAAGTTCAATTACATGTATTTAAGTTGGGCTTTACAGAGATTGCTGAAACCCTTAAATAATAAAAAGAAACTTGTATATGATACATCTACAGATTGTGTATATTCTCCTGCTTTAACCTTGCATTAATTCTTAAGGATTCAAATAAAGTTAATTGAGAAATTGGAAATCAAATACATTGTGTAGATAGAGTGTCTTTATATAAATGTGTAAGTTCCATTTTGAAAATAAACCTACTGTAATTGTGGTCTTAGAGGCATGAGGCTTGCTGCTTCTGATGCTGGTGTAGCAGGTGATATGGGTGTCATCGGGGGTGTCATCGGCCCACCTGGTGTAGGGGTTGGTGGATACAGACTTGGAGCATTGGAAGGAGGCATAACTGGTTTTGGGGTAAGTCCAAAACCCCCTAGAGCTGGTGACATCATTGGACTCTATGCGAGAAAAAAATAATACATGATGTATAGATTATAACTCATAACACAAATCAAACCAAAACAAAAAAGGACAAAAATGCACACAACTAGATTTATTTCAACTGGAAAACCAGACAGAAATATAGATCACAATCTATAATCTTGTCAGTACTTTAATGCTAGGTAGCAAAAGACCAAAACATGGCCAATCTACACTGTTTAACAAGAAAGTTAAAATTTTATTTAAAAGTCGCGGCACCTATTTTGTTATGTTGAGAACTACATGTGTAGAATGAAATAATTAACAGATAAGTTGATATCGCATCTCTAGAACGTGTCGTCGACCCAACCAGAGAGCGAGTATTTCCAACAATATTGCCGACATTGCATCATTAACATTGAATTAAAATACGGGAATATTTTGACAACGAAAGCATTCTTACCTGCTGGTGCTGTGGTGTCAGGCCAGTGCCGTATGACTGGTACATGTTGCCGTCCATTTTTACTGATTTTTAATCGGAATTGAAGTCAACACCGACAAAAACAGCGCCAATCAAGACGGAGTTTAAAGCATGCGTTTCCCTCAAAGCATTTGCATATAGGCAAATATTCGTGAGCAGTATACTTAAAAGCAACTTAATAATGGTAAAATTAAGGCATGGCTGTAGTAAATTTGTAAATATGATCAGAAACGACTCCTAGTCAAATGGTCAATATGAGATCGACCAGACAAACGGCTCCGTTCTGTACCGGAAGTGGTTAAATATATGTCGCTTAAGTCATTAGCAGATTCCTTACCACATTGAAAATAACAAGCCGTTCTTACTTCTTTTCTCTTCTTTCTTTCTTTTGGTTTGAATAACACTGCCTTCGTTTATAGTAATAATTCATAATATTGCTTAGCTGATAAAAGAAATACAATACACGTCAACGTTCTTCATATTTCACATTACACATTATACAGTCAAAAAGGCTAAAAGCGAGCGCAATTTAACGGTCAGTTACAGAGGTTCACCCAAGTTGTTTATAATCACTTCAAATGAAATCTCACAAACATTCTAGTGGAATCAAATTCAACCGAAAATTCCAAACTCTGAAAGACAAATATTTTTGTTTTTGTAGAACATTGGTTAATGCCGGAACAAATAGGATTTTTATTTATTTATTCATTTATTTTTAGATACAACGAAAAGATTCTTTAGAACCTGAAACTAGAAACTGTAAGGGTTTTGGAGCAGTTACAATTCTGTGGGTACAAATTTCCCCGTTACTGTATGATGGCAATGGTAGAATTATCGGTGTTCATATCCATACTTACGTTTTTATGCCCTCTCCAAGCCTGCCGACAACAGAATATCGTGAATTTATGGAAATGTTATCCAACAAGTAAGACTGTTACTCGGAGAAGGAACTGTTATTGTTATTGGGATCTTTAACGCTCAAACATCACAAGAGTGTAAGGAATCATCCTCAAGCCAACATTGAAGTAAAATACATGTATTCTAAAAGTAAAGGATAGAGAAACGTCTTACTTCCATTAACTCACCAGCATGGTCCTCTGGTGGGAATTATACTTACCATTCTGGTGATGGTATTAACGCTGCATGATAGATTACATTCTTCTCTCCGAAACAAAACTGAATTTAGATGTCTTGTACAATTCGTGATGATAACTTTCTAAACGTTTCTGATCATCTACCCATTACAATGAGTATTAATACAGGATGCTTAAGAAGTGATCTTCACGAGCCAAAGTGAGCGGTTAATTGGAAGGCAGTACATAGCGAACAGTTAAGAAATTACCAAGATGTTGCAGAATCACTATTAGGAAGCATAGGAGTCAGCAACGCCACGGATACTTAAAACTATGTTTAAGCTATAGTGTCATCGATACAGACAGCAGCGGAGTTCACACTTCAACGCAAAGTCTATGGGGATTTTGTCAAACCGTATTGGAATTCGGGTAATGCAAAGGCGTTCCATGCTGAAATGATATATTTGCGGTCCGAATGGATAGAAACGGGACAACTACGTGGTAATGCGTTCCCGTCACACAAGCAATATAAGGCCACGAAAAGTAACTTCCGGAACGAAGTATACCGAGCAAGGAAGGAATATGAAAAAGAACAGTTCAGTAAATTGGAAATATGCGCTGAAGTAAACACTTGGAAGTTCTATAGAGCTGTTCGTGTGAGGAGAAAAAAAGACTCGAACACCGCCAAAGAGCTACGTATAGGTATAATATTTGAGCGATAATGACAGGATTAGAAATGCTTGGATATATCATTTTAGCAAACTTTCTCAACCATCATGTCCGCCGCATTTCGATGAAAAACATCGACGACATATCAATCATTATTTAGGGAATTATTTGATAAAGGTTACCAGAATATCGATGGTATATGCGAAAATATAATCTTGAAAGAGAAAGTGAAGCACGCGTTCTCTGACATAAAAAATGGCAAAGCGGGAGGTCATGGCGGGATCGTTGTTGTGGATATCAAATCACTTTGAGACTTGATGTTAACAACTATAGGGACACAACGTTAACATCTGTTCCCCAGAAGCTGATTGAGAAAGTGTTATATCTTCGGATATGTTCCATGATGCCTAGTAGGTCTTTTCCACATTCTCTGCAGAAAAGGATATCGTCCAAAGTGGAGAAATATCAACGCCGCGTCCACTGTACAAGAATCAATAGCTCACTACATTGAACGAGGAACTGAAGATTTTGCCGCATTTTTGGACAATCAGAAAGTATTCAACAGTGTTTGGATCGAAGGGCTTATGTATAAGTTGTACAATTTGGGAATTAATGGCAAATTTTGGCGGTTAATTGTTATTTGACTTCTGTAAGGATGTGTTATTTTGTGTGTTAATCGATGGAAAAAAGAGCGAGCCGTACGCGATATTGCAAGACGTCGGTCGAGGCAGAACATTATCTGCATTGTGTTTACTGGTTATCATTAATGGCCTTATCGTTAATCTTGATGAGCTTAACCAAGGACTAGAAGTTGGCAGTCTTATAATCACATAAAAAGCTTTATGATTAATTTTTTAACCAGCCAAAGCAAATCAAATGCTCGTCAGTGTTTAATGCATTGCAAGCCTAGGAACAACTGGGTTATTCCGCTAAAGTCAACAACTTTACATGTATTTATTTTAATATTTTTGAGTCCTAGACAAAAAATTATCTCAAACCGAGAGTTATGGAATAAGGGGAAAATGTTGAAATGAAATAAATATGCTTGTCAACTGCATTTATACCTCATATAATCACATATGATGTTTCTTAATTGTCCGTATTCAAATGGCGTGATGTTTAATTGTTAAAACATTCTATTCAAATCTACTTCAAGAAATATATATGTGGTTCATATCAAGTCAAGTCTGACAGTAAATCTACTAACAGAATGATCCTCAGAAACATATGAAGGCAGACTGATGTGTAAATATTAACCATGTGATGTTGGATTCACTACCTTCAAATTAGCATCTGATAAAGTATACAAAATGGTGAAGTATGATGAAAACTACATTGACAAAAAAAACATCTACACATCGTTTACACAATTCACACAAACTATTACACGGGTCATGGTAGTTAGAAAAATAATGTCGAAGCATATCAACATACTTTGATGAAATGATAGATAAACTTCGATCTATATCTAAGTTCATGATAAAGATAACGAAATAATATTTAACACTCGAAAAACTTTCAAAAGTTTTTGTGTATCGAACGCACCCTGAAGTTGAAGGTGTCCAAGATGGCGGATAAATCAGACAGACGAATCAAAGTTGGAGTTCTTACAGGTGTTTACATGTTGATTATAAGTTTAGTTTGTTTGTCATTTGTTAATGTGGTTGTCTGAGTAAACAAAGTAAGTTTATTTTAACAGAAAGGACGTTTCTGTTGCGGCACAGCCCTTTTCGAATTCTTAAGTTCTTATCTGTTGGCCAATTCTGGCTACTGGATACCTGCGGCCGATTCAGACCAATATAGATAGTTTCTGATATGCAATGCGGAATGATTAAAGATGAGGTATTTTATTGAAATTATGTTCAGGTATTTCATTTTTATCGTAGCCTCTTTTTATTCACGTTTTCACATAAATCGAAGTGAAAGTGTGAAGGGAGATAATTCTTACTATGTTCCAATCTGAACTTCGTGATTTAACTGTGTGTTCAGATCACCTTAAAGCTAGCCTCGGCTTGTGGGTGTCCGGCTAGAGACCGAATGATCGCTAGTCCGATATCTAATGTTAGAAGGGTATTTTCTATTGCCCAGGTGTCATAGGTTTTTGACCCTGGCAAAGCAAAATAAATTTTTACATAAAATTTCGAACATTTTATTCAAAGTCTTATTGGTAAAATTAAATACATTATTGTTACGTTTTTGTAAAATATGTGACTACAAGCCATCAGAATTTTATGGACATGACAATTTTCTTCGGTACGCATTTGAGTAAAACAATAAAGGACATGTAGGAGAGATGTCTCAAGGAGAGAGAGAGAGAGAGAGAAAGGTTATTTTTTTGAGAAAATTACTTCCTGCACCTGATTATTCTGATATTTGTATAAAGCTCTAAGTGAAACTAGCAGTGACATTTATCATATTGTCCCTGCAATATACTGTTGTCTAGAGAACTTCTCTTTCAAGCTGATTGGTTGAGCTTGAGACTAGCACAAGTAAGTCAGAGGTCCTGGGTTCAAATCTATGTGTAGGCATTGAAATAAATAATAACCACTGTTTCAATAATTATTAATTGAACGATTGTGAAAATATTTGTGTTATATTTTCAGTAAGTGATTCTTGCTTCAATGGAAAAGCAGATGACCGAAGTGGATCAAACTTGTGTCATCTTATAGATGAAGATCACTTGTAAGTATGATACTTATTTTGATATTTATTTGATATTATCCCGATGTTTAAATCATACATACTCTTTGCTGATAGCTAACACATAAACTGTTAGTTTCTCCTTAAATCAACTTTCTATAACTAAGTAGCAAACTTATAGAAATCAATATCAAAGGCAATATCTTTCTAAATAATAGCAGAACATAAAAACATTTCCTATTCTGATTTAAATGTTCCTGTGTTCTTTCAGAATCAATGGAAACATTTGTGTTAAAGATATTGTACCGGATGACATTGAAAAAATCAAGGTTTGTAGTATACTGAATGCAATAAAGATTATGTGCATGTTTTATACAAAATCATGATATCAATATACCAGATATATCTTATATAAACTGCCCTTTTATCACATCAGAAGTAAAACATGCACATCATGTGATGCTTTTTTTCTCCCAAGTTGCTCTTATTCTACTTTTTTCCAGTACTCTGTTTTTTCCCTGTTGGACACAATAGGGTTTGCCTTGTTTTACACCCAAAATATGGAAACAGATGTATTTAAATTTGTTATGAATTGTAAGTGTTTTTAAGTAAACACTTACATGTTTTAGGTTTACTACCAGTTGATGATAAAAAGAATTAAGGAAACATGATTGAATGACCATAGCTAGATTGAAGCTCTAGCTGTCATAATAAGTTATATAGCTCTATACCGAGATGTTTATAAGTTTCAAATGCTTAATACAACATGAAAGGTAATTTCTTCACTATGCTATTGTTGATTTTATACAAACATTGTAAATATGATTTTCATTGATATATATTTCAATCATTTGAAATCTATATATACACATAATTGAATATTTCATACATTATGACACACTGGATACTAGTTGCTGTGGAAAATATGTAAAAAAAATGTATCTTTATCATCAGGAGAGACACTGAACAAGTTAAAGTCTTTTGGTGTCAGTACATTGTATTTATTCCCTGACAATTTGCTTTATTGACATTAGAAAACATTGAAGGAGTGGTGTGATGTGAAAAAGCTGGACCTTGTTCTAACCACTGGTGGCACTGGGTTTGCTCCAAGGGATGTAACTCCAGAGGTAATTGTTTATTAATTTATTAGCATGTTTCAGAAAGCAGGTCACTACAATTTATATATATCATCCAGATTAAATATTTCATTGAAATACTTTCAAGACAAAATGGAAACATTTGCTGAGTTTTCAAGTTCTGCAAGGAATTGTAGTAATCTCCTTCAGAAGTCATGTCCCTGCAATGATAAAGTTTCATTTGTGTAATTTTGTTCAGACTCTTTACATTAGCAAAAAATCACGTTTGTGATTTACAGGCGACAAAATCTGTATTGGAGAAAGAGGCTCCTGGGATGACTATAGCCATGTTGAAGAAATCTTTAGAGGTCACTGACCTTGCCATGTTATCAAGGTCAGTAAGGAGAATACATGTACATACATAACATATTTCAATCTTACAGAGTATTTGTAGACCCTACTTAAATAATCAGGAGATGAAAGGCTATTCCAGTAATATTTTCTCATGATCAACTGACTTCAAAATAAAGCACTATTACTGAAAATCATCATTGGGTTGACCGCCAAATATGTCTATGCCAATTTTTACTTAAATTCTATGAAAACAGAGGTGGTGGGATGTTTTTGCTTATCTATGCTGATGATCGATGAAACAAGTTAAGACTAAACTGACATTTGTAGTGGTACATGCACGTCATATTAGCTGAGAATAAAAAGTCACTTTGATGTATTAATAAGAGGAAAATTGACTTGTAATACATAAACTATAACAATTTATAAATTTATGTCAATTTAAACATTGCTTTAGGTTGACTTGTGGCACAAGGGGGCACACATTAGTTATCAACCTTCCTGGAAGCACAAAGGGCTCAGAGGTAAAATTATAGCTATGTACTATTATTAGCATAAGTCAACTTGATAGTATGTTACTTTGCTTTCTTTCAAACATTTCCTATTATATAACACATCCTCATGAACGAATTCAAAACATGTGTCATCATTATCTTAAGTTGGCATGAATGACATTGATTGAAGTAAAATGACTTTTAAATTCTGTGAAGGTAATAAACTTCCATGACTTGCAAATCAACAATTGTTTTAAACTTTAAGGAATGCTTCCGGTTTGCTTTGCCTGGGATTCCACATGCTGTTGACCTCCTCAGGGGAAGTGACCAGTCTGTGAAAGACACTCATTCCAAGCTTCAGGCAGAGGGGGTTGTTGAGCCATCTAAGGTTAGTAACAGATAAGGAGAACATTCTGTTAGCATGGATTTTGTTGTTCAATATAAACTCTGTGCATCCCTTTATATGATAGACTATCCCCATCATTCACCTGCAGAAAGGTTGACCTTAGTATATGGTATTACATGCACAGTATGACTGACTTCATGATGTCATTAGTCAGAGGAAGCTATGATGTAAAACGAAATTCGTTAGAGTGTTACAAAAGAAGCAACAAATTTCTTTGAAAATGAAGCATGTTTTTTCTGAGGAAACATTGAAGAGAGGACATATTAAATACCTTTGTAATACAGCCTTGGTATCAGAATAAAGGCTTAAATACTTATCAGGTTTACACCAAAGTCGCCCAACTAAGATGATTAAATGACACATCTTTTATCATAAATACAAGAATGCTCTTCATTTGTATATATAACTTTCAGTATGTACTGGTAGTGTTTACTTGAGTGGATTAAGTACTGGTGTAACGTATCATTTTGAAGTATTGTAGTTTTTTGCGTGTATTTTTTGATGATTGAGAATACTAAGGAAGGCATTGTTTGTGGTATTGTATTTACATGCTCTGGCTTAAGAACACTCTTTCCTTTTTTTGCTCTAACTTAAAGAGCATCTCAATCTGAAAGCTGATGAACATGATGTTTAAATTGTCTACAAAGAGTTAGCTTCTATTGTCACAGTTCTCTTGATACATGTACAGCTAATCATGGTGGTTCCCTGCAATTAATAATTTTTGTGTGTTTCAAAATCTGTATCTCTTTCTTCAGGACATGTTCATGGAAATAATGTAAATGGCTTAGAAACTGAAAATAATAAAAGCATTTCCCTTTAAGAAAATGTTTGTTTTTATTTTGTCCAACTCTTGACTACCATAGATAAATATTGATATCAGATATACTTTTCATGTATGTCCAGTGTTAACAGTGTCCTTGATATATTGTAGGTAAAATGCAGGAGAAGAAAGACTATTGCTGTAAACTTTCTATATTGTGTAATCAAAATTTTAAAGAAAGAAAAACAAAAAAGATAAAGAAAATGTAGAATTGCATTTGTACATCTATACTGTTGGAAGTATGTATGTCAGTTATATAATTAAAAGATAAATGTATGGGCATTGCATTCATAAATAAATATGTTTTTAATAAGCTCTTATATTTGTATTAAACCATTCAAGATTTTTTAACATTTTGAATTAAAATCATGTGAAAGCTGCACTGATAATCTTTTATATTAAAAGGGCAAATGGTTTTGAATAGATTTTACCCAGCAGTAGATATATATGATGTGTTTCAGGTGTATTCATGCCCTTGTCATAAAGGGCAAACATACTAAAAAGGTACTAAGTAACAACGACTGTTTCTGATTTGACTAGGCGCTCAAGGAGAAGATGATACAGAGCTGTGTATCTGAAGTCCTTGTCAGCAAGACCAAGAGTAGACAACTCAGGAAATACATTACCAAGCCAAAGCGTCTGACAGGTGTCCGGAGAGTTGCTAGAATAGGGACCACAGTGAGAGATAACTTGTCCAGCAAGTCAAAAAGCACTGCTGTAAAAGACTTGAGTAAGTCTAAATTTTCAGCATGTGATATCAGGATTGAGTCTCAGCTACAGGCCTCAGAAGAGTCATTTAATAGGCTACAAGAAGGAGGTGTCGGGCTAGAGATTGCGGAAGGAAATATACAAAGTAAAAAAGTGACCATTCCATCAAATGCCAACAGACCAAATAAAAATTCTGTTCCTTCAGACAAAGCTTTTCCTGTAATAGAAAAGACTTGCCACTCTAATGATAGTGACTGTGAGACTGATCAGGATGTGGTGCAGTTGCAAGAGTCTGACACTTTAGGCGAGGACAGTGTGAGTCCTACCTGTGGTGATTTACCTGATACTACCAAGTATTGTCATCTGTCTGTTGGGGAAGACTCCCAATGTTATGAGGAAACTGCGGCAAAGATTGAAGTAATGCAGCAAGTAACTACACAGAGTCTTAGAGCACAGATGGAACGGTTAAATAAAGGACAAAATGATAATACAGGGAGTACAGGAAGATTGACAGAACAGCTGACCTCTAATGGTGCTGAGGTCACCAGACATGTGCTGAGAGTGTTAGAGGACAGACAGACGCTGTTCACTCCGACATCTGATGGAGGGGGTGGTTCTTATGATAACTTTGATTGTAGTTCTGAAATTGATCATTCACAGAGTTCCATGGATGCATCTTTAGCGAACTCTCTATTAGATAAAACAAGCACAGAGACTTATGATAATCCATCTTATGTTGCAAAGACTACTTCAAATAGTGTTAATATTTTTGACTTTACCACTGAACATCTTTCAGATGTATTACAACCAAAGAGAAAAAGGTTGTCCAGTAAGAAGGATAAAGATCCCCGTCCATTCATTCCTGCTAAAATACACAAAAAGTCAAGCAAAGGTGACATTTGCTGTGTTGAAGTAGGTGAAAAATTGAGAGAATTTTTAGACAATCACCAAATGATTAAAGGCATTTATCTAAACAAAGGGAAACGACACATCAAAAAAAGCCTTGTGCAACTGCGACGACAAGACAATGCTGTAGACAAAAGGAGTTGGCAAAGAGGAAACAACATCCATGAAAGGAATCGTTTGGATGATTACTTTGAATTAACTGAAGCTGGGAGGAAGAAAAAGGATCTTGTGGACAAGAAGAAAGCTAGAGACGAGTTTGCTGTCAACTGGTACATGTGGTGTCCGGGAAGGGGGAACTGTCAGCGGAAGTGTGGGGGAATTGGTGGATGTGCAGAAGGTAAGTATAACTCAAAATGGCTTGATGTCATATTTAGCTAAGTAATGAAATCAAAACAATCATTTTCATGTCAGTCTGCAGAATGAAATCAACAGTTTTGTTTTTCATTACTTAATATCACATAGTCTTGCCATCGTAGAGCTGTGTGGTGATTACTCTTACACAACCAGAAGAATTCTAAATGCTGTTTCTGATATAACCAATGTACCGATGTTTCCATAATCTTTCTGGCAAAATACAAAAATGTTCAGTATCATTTTATCAGTCCAATTCAAGGATTTCTTTAATATGAAATTTCAACAGAGTTGACTAAAAAGATTTTTTTTTTTCAGATATGGTTTTCTATCAGTAACATTATTCATGACTTGAATATTCTGAGATATCTTAATTGCCAAAAATGGCTTTGATCATAAGAAAGAAAGGAAAACCATTAGGCTTTTATAAATAATAGTAAAAGTTTTAATATACTTGCAGGTTGTGAAGGAATGACTCACAAGCAGGACAGACACAACTGCTCATTGATGGTGAACATGAAGCTTTTTCTAAGTGACCTTACAAAATGGCGAGTGAACATTACCGGGAGTCACGTTCCCTCAGACTCTTTAATCACGTGGCAGCCTCCACCCCGGGAAGGCGAAAGGCTTGGGGAGGTCATCAGGGATGAGATCATATTGAAATCTAATAAACCGATTAGCACATCTTCCTCAGACATTCAGGATGTTCTTGTTGAGAAAAAACTGCTTCCAAGGTCATCTAAGGTCAAAAGAAGGATCAACCGATTTGTTTCAGGGATGAAGAAACGCCATGCATGTCAAGAACAAGATATTTCTAGTCTAAATGTGCCAGCTCAGATGGACTTAGTGAAGGAAATGAGTGTCCACTCCAGAACAGCAATTCAAAAACGGCAGGACAGTTGTCATCAGAACTTGAATGGTCAGAATGTTGTGACTGTGTACCAGGTCATTAACAAAGTAACCAGTCATCCAATTGGACCGTCCAAGGCAGTGATGCACAGGACCAAATTACCGGCATCATTTGGTCAGCAGAATTTACCTCCAATAACAATAGGTTCAAATTCCAGTCAAACTGGACAGTACAGCTACCAGACAGGTTTAGCGTCTACTGTAGCCATGGGTGTTGGTATGGCTAACCAGTCACCTGTCTTTGTTACGCAACCATCACAACCTGTTTGTGATTCAGTGCCTTTGTTTATCACCCCTATGCAATAAACATGAAGAATGTGATATATACTCTGGAGCAATACTCAGTCATGCATACTTTTGGTCACACTGCAGGAATCTTTTCAAATCTACTCCACAGCACTTTAGTGTCTACTATAGTCATAGGTGTTACTTTGGGCAACGTAGGAAATACGAAGAGTTCTTAAACATGGAACAAGTGATAAATATTAATTGATGTGTGGTTTATTGTTTATTAACTGATGGGAAGTCAAAAACATTATCAAAGGTGAAAAGTTATCGAAGATAACAGAAAAGTTCATCAAAACCATGATACAGTTACAGTTTTGGAATTTTGATTGAACATTAAACAAAATGATACGTGAACATGTATGTCTACATGCTAAGCTTAACCCAAGAAAAAAAGATAATTGTTATGGTCGTTTATTGAACATATCAAATTTACATTTCTGTAATTTCTGCTGATAATTTTCCATGTCAACTGGTGCTGATGTGTATTCAATGCCATTGAAAGGCCACTGTAAGGCCATATTATGCTCAGGTATGTTGACAAATACACATTTTGTTTTGTGTGATACCGTTGTTAACCAAGTCTTTTAGGTTTGTTTCTCAATATTCTATACTTAAATTTTATATGGTGAGAAAAATTGGTTGTTCACATTATAACCTTGTATCACAATATGTTAAATTTTACATTAAAAAAAGAATTTCAAGTTGTTGCATCATAAATGTTTTTTGTAAAGAGTTTGGGAGTGATAAGATTTAGCACTTCAACTACGTAGTTATTAATTGTTTCCGTCATAAGTGTACAGTTGATTTCGTGCAAAATATAATTTTGAAAAGGTACATTAAGGAATATAAAGTATTGCAATTTTGACATGAAAAAAGTTTTGATTGTCTAGAATCTCAAAATAAAATCATTTCTGTACAGCACTTATATACAAAATGTAGTTACAAAGATATATTGATGGTAATATCTTGGTTGGATTTTGAAAAATAAGCCTGTCTGTCAATCTTAATGTTAAAGAGTTACCTCTCTTGGTTCACATTGTGTTAGTACTAACCTATAGTGTAATAGTTTTCAACACAGAGACTTGGTAACAATTGACAAACTAAAGAACTTGTAAATACAGTGTATGTATGATAAGTATGGAAGTTTTGACCATGTCCTTGTGCATGTAAAGAAAACTGAAGTGTTTTGAAGTATACAATGTGAATTTTTTGTTTCTAGTTTTCAAACAGAATTCTACACTGTAAAAGTAAATGCTCTGTTTTTGTATCACTGAGAACTGTGACACTATGTTCTGACCTTTTATTGATTTTTGTTGAAATAAAACTGTTACTAAGACCATGTTGTTATCTCACGAAAATAGTTTTGTGTGAACTCATGATATTATAAACTTGAAAAAATGAAAATTTTAAAATCTAAAGATGATGATAGATGATGATGAATTAGTCATTGCTCAGTTTAATTTTGCCATCCATACTGTTTCTATACACTTTATATACAAATGGCAATCATGTGGACAGATCTTTGGCTGTCACATGGTATTTGTATATGCATTTAGCTGTATGTTATTGTTCAGCATTTTGTACTGATGACCATTTCATTCATCTTGATGAAACCTCGCTGTATTGTCTTATTCGCCCCCTTCAGCACTCCCATATGTAGAATTACCAGTAAGAATCTGAAATGATGTGAGCTGATGGGGTTAAGATAGATGGTTTATTCACCTCGTAAATTTAATTGCGTTTATGTTGGTTAAGGATCACCATCATGGAAATCATCAATCTGTCCAGGAACATGTCCACCCGAAAGGTCACCACCACCACCACCATGGAGAACGTGGACATCATCATGCCAGTCATCACCATGGAGGAGGAGGTCATAACCATGGCCAAAAGTCAGAGCATGGACATCACCACCATAGTCACACTCATAGTCATCACCATGGTCACAATCATGGACATCATGACAGCAGTAAGTTTATGCCTTCATTAATGTTGATCTAGAGCTGTGGTTTATACTATCTGTGCATAAACAAAATTTATGTGCATAATATTGTCTGTTAAGTACAAAACAGTACCGACTAACGACGGGATGATATTCTGACATATTACAGTTAAGTTGATCTATGCGGTTGGTACAGACTAAAATGCATTTTTTTCTGGTAGAAGTGCAGCCAATCCGATAAATCTTGAGTCAAACTTTTACTGACAATTCAATGGAATGGAACATATTGTAAGATTTGTCCCTCAGAAAGGTGACATTATAAAGTAATCAGATTCAGACTTAAGTAACTGGAATTATAATACCTAGAATTGAATGCGAGGTCTTTGGCGGAAAAGCTTACCCATTGACCTAAAATCCGAGGTCCTTGGTGGAAAAGCTTACCAATTGACGTAAAAGAAGCCGAGGTCTTTGGTGGAAAAGCCTACTTATTGACGTAAAAGATTTTGAGGTCTTCGGTGGAAAAGCTTACCCATTGATGTAAAAGAATCCAAGGTCTTTGGTGGAAAAGCTTACCAACTGAAGTAAGATAACCGAGGTCTTCGATAGAAAAGCTTACTCATTCACGAAAAAGAAGCCGAGGTCTTTGGTGGAATAGCTTACCCATTGATGTAAAAGAATCTGAGGTCTTTGGTGGAAAGGCTTAACCATTGATATAGAAGAATCTGGGGTCATTGGTTCAAAAGGTTACCAACTGGCGTAAACTTTTCTGAGGTCTTTGGTGGAAAAGCTTACCCATTGACGTAAAAGAATTCGAGGTCCTTGGTGGAAAAGCTTACCCATTGATGTAAAAGAAGCTGAGGTTTTTGGTGGAAAAGCTTATTCATTGACATAAAAGAATTCAAGGTCTTTGGTGGAAAGGCATACCCATTCCATTCACGTAAAAGAATCCGATGTCTTTGGTGGAAAAGCATACACATTCACAATAAAGTTTACCCATTGAAGTAAGATAACCGAGGTCTTTGGTGGAAAAGCTTACTCATTGACGTAAATGAATTCGAGGTCTTTGGTGGAAAAGCTTACTCATTGACATAGAAGAATCCGGGGTCATTGGTTCAAAAGCTTACCAACTGACGTAAACTTATTCGAGGTTTTCGTTGGAAAAGCTTACCCATTGGCGTAAAATAATTTGAGGTCTTTGGTGGATAGACTTACCACTGGCGCAAAAAGATCCAAAGGGTTTTGGTGGTAGGCTTACCATTTGACGTTAAAGTTTCTTTTACATCTGTGTTTATATCACATTCGGCTATAAATCAAATACAAATATCCATATATATAATGACGTCTGCGTTTGGTTGTTCTTTTGTCAACAACCTCTGTATTACTTATTATCGTAAATACCCAAAATAAAACAACATTTGTTTCAGTTCACCTGAATAAGCCGAGGAAGACAGAAAGCCATATCGGCCAGTCTTGTGTTTAAATTTCTTATTAGACATAATTGTTTTTTACTTATCATGGAATATATGTATACATGCTTATATCTTTTCTTGTCTGCTTTGTATGGAATTCGTGTTATGTGTCTCCCCTGAAATCAAACTGAAATATAATTATTTTTCTGTAGAATTTAGAAAGAATACAAAACTACTGATCGTTGATTTGTTAAGTGGAACGAATGTTACAGCTTTGATAATATTGAAGTTATTCAAATCATTGACATTGAATATGCCTTCATGAAAACAGAAAGTAAATACCGACATGTTAACAGAACCATGATCAAAACACAAATTCGGTGAAACCAGGGCAAAATATGAACAAAAGATTTACATCACGTTTCCTGAAAAAGAACTAGGAGAATAATACCAGATGTTCAGAAAGGGTAGGCGTCTTCGCTGTCAGTCTAAGGAAGTAGTTTCAGGGACCACCAGATATACTTCCGAGCATTAAACACACCCAGTTTCATATTGCACAAAGAAAACACAATATCTCAATACGATCACCACATCATAAAATGCAATAGACATAATATCCACTCCATCAACATAATTCATTTACGCTCTTAATTTCTTAATGATACGAAGCAACGTTTGTATTATAAAAGCCAAATGTACATACATCAGAACCTCAATAATAGGGATGTGGTCTCAACTGTTACATATATGGTCCATTTTTATAAAAGTGTTTCCAACGATTTTTATCGTTGAGCAAATTGAAATATAAATCCTAGACATTCAAAGATATTAATGATGTCCAGTTGTATTAAAATAGTATCTCGTACAAAAAATGTTCTAGTTAAACTGCAACTCCTAACCGCAACGACTTTAATTGTTTACACAAAAGCAACAGTCAGTGACATGCACAATTCGCTTTCAAATACTAAATTTTCATTTCGTTTTCAACGTCTATGGCTACACTGTAATTATTGCTTTGAAAATGTTCTGATTATGAAGTGAGCCCATCTCAGAAATTCAGAAATACACATAAGAAGTTTAGCATCAACCCATTTTCTAACGGACATCTTGTCTTAACTGAAATTACAAATAGTTTTTGTAATGTATTTGATTATAGTGTACATGACGAAAACAAAAAAATATAGATGTCATTCGTGATTACAGAGGATCAAGTTATTAACAAAATTTAAAAAAAATAGAGCAAGTCTCCGCATAGCAATAATTAAAAACTATGCAGAATTGTCTGTAAGGATGATTAAGGAGTTATTACCGGTTGCCCTCCATCTCTGGTCACGGGTTCTAGGCCTACGTGGGCAGTGAGCAATCACTGGTCGCAGGTCGGTGGTTTTTCTCCTGGAACTTCGGTTTACCCCATCACCCAAACCTGACACGTCTTTAAATGACCATGGCTGTTAAAAGGATGTGAAGTAACAATTAACTAAACTAAACTTATATAAATGTATCGATATCGATGGTTCTGTTTCGTTAGTTAAATAGCGACGATGGAACACGTTTTGAACTAAGGTCCTGCTTGTATTGGTTTATTTTCTAGAGGTTCTGTTCTTAGCTATTGTCTAGGAATAATAAAACTAACAAAAAAAGAAAAAAATCCATTGAATATAGCATTGATAGAGAAAACTAAACTACAGCAATGTACATATATCTATTGAATATAACATTAATAGAGAAACTAAAATACAACAATGTACATATATCTATTGAATATAACATTGATAGAGAAAACTAAATTACAACAATGTACATATATCTATTGAATATAACATTGATAGAGAAACTAAAATACAGCAATGTACATATATCTATTGAATATAACATTGATAGAGAAACTAAAATACAACAATGTACATATATCTATTGAATATAACATTGATAGAGAAAACTAAACTACAGCAATGTACATATATCTATTGAATATAACATTGATAGAGAAAACTAAATTACAACAATGTACATATATCTATTGAATATAACATTGATAGAGAAACTAAAATACAACAATGTACATATATCTATTGAATATAACATTGATAGAGAAAACTAAATTACAACAATGTACATATATCTGTTGAATATTACATTGATAGAGAAAACTAAATTACAACAATGTACATATATCTATTGAATATAACATTGATAGAGAAAACTGAACTACAACAATGTGCCTACTGATTGATTATTTCATATGATTAGTAAAGCTGCAAAAATATGAGCTTCAACAATGATAAAGCAAGTGCAGTTACCTATCAAGATTTTGAATTTTGATTTGATCTGTAAAAAAAATTCCTTTGTCGCCCCGTATGCTTCAGTATTTAGGCACTGAGCATCACTGAAGATTCCTAGAAGAATGCTACAAATGTTTGATGCGGACTTTTTCATTTTGTCTTATGTCTCTAATTCTTTTGGATTGAAATGCTTAAATAACGTTTGTGTCTCTTGCATAATCATTTAGATGAAACAACAATTCATTTATTTGTTCTGATTTAGAGGTACGTTTTACAGATGTTTAATAGCAGTAATCTCGATATTAATTGAACAAAAAGTTATGATTTGTCTGGTGAAATTCTGTTGAAATATACCATTGTTTGAGTATTAAGCATAAAAGTTTCAAATTTCACAAAATGAATTTCAATGGCTGTTGTGATGGCCATGCCGTTTTAAAGTTATGAGAGAAACTGCTTTGTTTCAGCATCTGTGAGTAGACATCCTCGTAAACAACAGGTGAATAAATGCTTATGTAGGTGCCATAGGGGTGCGGTATTTGAATTTATATGATTTCAATAAGAACATTGCATTTTCATACAGTACATACTTTTGTGTGTGAGTTTTTAGATGTGCTAGTATGATTCAGACATTTTTTAGTACAAAAGACAAAAAATCAGAGCTAAATACAGTAAAACCAAATAATTATTTCAACTGCATCATTCTCCTGACGTTTAGTATAAATGATGACTCATGAAGGACGAAATAATGTTTCAATATTTGAATAAATTCCCTGACATTGTCTTTTACAGTAATGTAATTTATATCCGTCATGTTGTTTTTTTCCTGACATTATGTAACTTAGAGACAGAATGATAAACAGTTATAAGTATTAAGTCTGAAACATGCATGTAACGTAATTACAAAAGCCAGTGAAGTACTAATGATATATTGGGATTCAACAAAGGCACTTTCACCGTTCTGTGAATATTTCAACACTTATTGTATTGAAATGGGGTAATGACCCCGTCGAGATCTTCAGAACTATCACCATCTATTGTGATATCTACGTTATTTATAATAGACTTCACAGAACACCAACAGTTAAGAGGTGTGGTAAACCTACGTAAAGTACATGTGGCCTAGTACACCGTATTTCAAAAGTAACTCTGTAACTAGCAGTCGAAGTCTTTGGTTGTATCTACTGAAGATAATTCCTGATAGATGATGATTTTGTTGCTCAATTACACCAAAATTACACGTTATCTCTGTCATCGATCTCTGTAACATGTTTCTTAAAGTACTGCACAAATGCAATCGCATTAAAACTCAGCATAAACGTGTTTAGGTATGCGAAATGGCGGTTTTTATTGAATTATCTTCATTAAGAGTTCTGTCCCTTTAGGCATTAATGCAATTGCGTGATATTCTGATACTTTTCAGTGCATCTCCAACTTGTGATGTCGCAGTTGATGCGATATTCAAGGGTCTGTTCCCAATATCACAAATTTGGTGCTAGATTTCAGTAACTACAGACAAGATTATAAGATACGGTTTCGAAAGATGTAGGTTAACGAAAATTATGGAGAAAATCTACGGTCGTCATAGTATTCTCACTGGGAAATTTTCTACTTGATTTAGCGATATAAAGGTGGGCTGTTTTGTTTGTGGCTTTCGAAGCTTTATATTTTGATTTATATTTTTATATTTGAGAATGGAGCATTATTTATTTAGGATGACCAAGATTTTCAAGGCAGGTATCGTCTATGAAGTATAAGACGCTTACTCTTCCGGAACACCTTTTCTTTTTCTCCTTGTACCTTTTCGTGAATCTCCGTGTACATCTTTCTTTCTTTTTTTTTATCCCTGTTTGATTGAATTTGAGTTTGGATAACGATTCAGTTCACATGTAGGTATTTTCCTGCTGTTCATTCAAATAAGCCACATTCCTATTTATTTGAATTGGAAGGTTTTGAATTATTTCTCTCTTTCCTTATGAATTCATGGGAAGATACGATTGTAGACAATTTATTTTTCAACTGTAAACAGAAGTACTCGTTGAAAGCACGATGATTTTGCGACGGGACTTCAGACTTACATCGTTAAAAATTATATTAAGACTTAATTGGTCTGTGTATAAAACTTTTTATTATTCGGATTGCGAATCATTTCACTTAATTATCCGGATTGTGAGTCATTGAGGAGATTAACATTCAATCGTTGTTTGTTATGACCTAGACAACAATAAAACCTTTTCATGCATTCCCAAGAGCTGCTGATCCTTCTGACATAAAGAACAACAGAGGCAAACATATTACGAAGACTACTCTGTTCTGACTCACTTAATGTTCATGTTATAATGTCTGCCGTTACTACGTCCTCATATTAATCGAATGCAATGACGTATAAAGCTGTAATTGTCATCTCACATTGTGATTTCTTTACGACTCTTTAGATGTGTTTGGAAAAGCTCACTTGTGCCAAGCCTTGTATAGGATATATGTATTGACATTTTATTAATCACCGTATTTGCAAGATTTTTTGGTTTAATTTCCTGACATATTATCCGAAAATAATACAAATGTGAAGACTTTACAGGTTTTTTGGTTTGCCTGAAATAATAAAATGTTAAAATGACATTATCATGCGGGGAAAATTTTGAACCAGTCAATAACGCTTTAAATGTGTTGTTTTTTCCGAATGGCTTTAATTTTCGTTTTTTTTCAAGGTTAGGATGAAATTGCGAAAGAAGATACGTTGAGGATGAAAATCAATAGGGAACCTAAAGTCCGTTTCATTTGGTCTTTTGTTTTCGGGATGTTGAAATTTAAAGGTCAACCTTATACATGTTATGGAAATCATAAGAATTACCATAATGAGTGTAAAAGATCTGATGTTAAGTTGCAGATATTATATGCTGTCATTGTATCATATGATGGGCAGTCATCATTACAGTAGCTTATATCATGAAGGTAGCTCCATCATGACGGAGTTTTCATGGATATGATGAGACAAAAGTTTTGAAAAATTTACAGAGGTACAAATATTTCTGTAAATAATGTTATTTTTGAATACTTTTTATTTCTTATCATTTTGGAGGATGGAGTATAACGTTGAAAAATCGATACATTGAGAAAAAAAATGATAGAGCAAACAAGCCATTGCATGTCTTTTGCATGAAGTAAATCCAGTTTGCTTCAAGCTCTTATTAAACCGTGGAAAATTTGAACCTTCGAAAGCATAAGAATTACTGTGTATAAATCAACAGTTATAGAAAAACCCAAACAATGATAGTTGTAATTTAAGTACGACCAAGTAGTTCTATGTAAACAATAGACTAAGCATTACTTTCATGTGCTGTCCATTTTTATGGTAGTCACACAAGCTTGAAATTTATAACATTTACGTTGATAAGTTACCAACATAAGTGAACTTTCACTTTATATTTAAAATGTAGCATTCAATCAATTTAGTACATTCTTGTCAAATCTTCATACAAGACAACTTGTAGTAGACATAGTCATCAGAATTCAGTGTTTGCACTGTTAACACAAGTATTTAGCATTGTGCCTACATAAATACTACCTATCACTAGTTTTGAGAAATGTATAGATATTGCATTGTTATGTGGTGCACTTCAAATATATTTTTCGCGTATTTATGTATTAATTTGTAATGGTTTGTAAACAAGTATGTGCCAAGTGCCCCAGTCTTTAATAACGATATAAAAATGACCACACTATCACGTTATCCTGAATTTCCACGCTTCACTGTCATAAAATTGAGACGGACAAGATCAAAATCAATGAAGATGTTCATCATCTGTAGCTACGTCCTTTGCGTATCAAGCAGTAAGGAAGGGATCTAAATTTGTTAGAACCATATCTCTTGAATGTTATAATAGGAATGACGTGTCCCTCTGGCAGTGTCGCTGATATCCACTACACTTTATTCCGGTAGTACCATATCAAGTGTCTCTGTTCAAACATGCTTCTCGGTTGGAATAACACGCCGCAAAATGACACAATTTCCCTAGGATCTTGTCAAACAAATCTTTTCTTGTTCTTCGTGTTGATATTTAAGTCTGGTGTAAATTGTCATGTCATTATCCGAGAGCTGGAGGGTATAATCCAGACTTCAATTACAGACCAATTCAATCATGTAACACTGGGGCCGGGAACAAGGGAACAATGCTATGGACTTGAGATTCACTCTTCTTGTGGTGAAAAATAAATGTCTAATAGCAAATTTGTGATTGCGATAATATTTCTATGTATTTGTATGGCGATAGTGCGAAAAAGTATTTGCTTTGACGAGGATTATTTTGAAGTCAACATTGTTAAGAGTAATTGCTTTTGCTTTAAGTTGATTAAATTTGATAAAATAGAAAAAATAATTACATTCCCCTATTTGCCTGGTTTTATTGTGATTCTTGCTTACCTTGGACACTGCGTTTCCTAAAGATAACTTGGTGATCCGAATCTCCTGCTCTCTGGATACACGGATACAGTTCTTAACTATCGGGTATTTATATCGCCAAAAATCAGATATGGAGACCTGACAATTGCGAACCTGCAATAAACCGGATTCAGATCGGTAATTTGATAACTCTTTTTAAGACTTGTTGGTTTTGTTTAACTTGACAACTCTTTCACTGATTTATGTAATACCAGAAATTTCCATCAAACAGATGATAGTTTATATGTATTTCATGTCTTTTTCAATCACAGAATGTTTGAGTACAATCATACAATTTTATCCCACTGGAGCCTCTTATGCGGGGGAGTGACATATTCTTCGTGAACTTCTTTGGAAGATGTCTCTGGATAATCAAACATTCTATTACTAGCAAGCAATATAAGAGCAACGCTACTAATTACCCAGATTCGTCACTCGATATTACGTAAATGTCCCGTCTTTTCAGGTTTTTAACGATACTGTGATTGTCACTGACGTCACAATATTAGCCACGGACGTTGCCAACACTTAATTGAATATATTGGCATTCAGGAGGAACTTTGTAGTATACAAAGACATTTGGGGTTCTCCAATATTACTTATTAAGATCATTTGTTATGAGGTGATGGGTTTTGACTTTAATACAAGCATATGTTTGCATATCTATTGCATAGACAAATATCAACACATAGATTTTTATTTAAGAATTTTCATGTAAAATGTTACCTTATCTGGATTGAATTGTGCCTATTACAAAGAATTCGTAATTCATGATAATTGCTGGCATTGCCTTTATGGGCATTCAGAAGGACTTTGTAGTGTATAATGACATTTTGGTGGAGGTTTCTCAAATTTCAATGTAAAAGGTACGATCGTCATGATATGATGAGTTTTAACTTTAATATGATTATGCATTTGAATATCTTTTGCTTAAACGGATATCAATACATGTAGATTGAGTTTTATGACCGATGACTTTCAATGTACACACGGTAGTAAGTCTCAGTGTGGGTGGATTGTGTAAGGTAAATTGAAGCGTGCATATTGAAATTATTTTGCCTAATGCAAAGAATCAATAGTTTAGAATTACTTTCGTTTGCAAGGTGTTGTTATCATCAGTATTATGATTGGTTGGAAAGAAAGTGAAGGGCCTTGATATATTGCTATTGGCTCCACTGATAGTTCATTTCAATAACATTATGATATGTGAATCAGGAATTATATTAAATTAATCGTGCAATATATATAATCAGTGATATAATCAGTTAAACTGACCATCACCTCTGCTAAATCGTCAGATGAAACATGGGGAAAATCTGATGACTAGCTGTGTGAGTTTCAGTCTCTGAAAGATGGCATGAGAATGTACAAGCAGCATTACGTATGAAATATTAAATCAAATAGAAACGTACAGATATACCACAAACGAAGCACTCTCTCAAGAGGAATAAGAAGGTGTATTATGATTGTTACAAATATTAAGGTGTGTGTAAAATAAATATACCATAGGAGCACAGACCCTGAATTCAGTGTCAAACGACAGTCTGTATGATTCTTGGTGATTTATATAACCTTCGTCTTTCTAACACATACAAATTGAACATGCTTGAATAATTACTGGTATATATCTACATTTAATTGGTTGATTAAATATAATTACAATGTTTCCTTACTAAATAGAAAGTATATACTTTGAAACACGTGAATATTTTTGCGAGGATCAATAAGTCGAATTCGGCCTTTTTTCTCAAACAATTGATAAACTAGTTACACATGTTTGTATGTTTTAGGTAAAGTTGACATAAAAGTGGCGTATCGCCCTCGCGAGTCTCCCTATCCTCTCATCAGCGTGGATGAAGCCGTACAGACCGTGCTGAATACTACTCCTCAACTTGACATAGAAACAGTTCATTTTAAAGGTAAGTACCATTAGATATTTGTCTTTTTGTCACCTGGTTCTTCTCGTTGTCCAACAAAGAGCAATTTAAAAATTCAATGGCATGAACGTCTCTTATATTCTCGTCCTTCTTTTAAGGCTTTCACCTACTTTTTAAAGTCTAAGTTCAGTCCTTTAGACTCCGTAAACGTAAACTGTCAAAATTTTTATTGTACTTTTTGACCATGTGCATTTAATGATTGTTTATATGATATCATACATTTATGCACAAGCGATACTAAAAAACGGAACAAAAGTTGCCTCATCAATAGCTTAACCTTAACCTTAACCTAGATACTTAATCTTTTCAACGCACGGAAAAAACGCAGCCTTGGGAATATAATATCAAATATGGATACATAAAAATCGGTATAATTAATACTCATGATTTAATTTATTTAGTTTTTGTTCTCAAAAATGTACAATGTACTTCTTCTGACTGAGTTTGTACCTTGTTGACTTCTTCCAGCCTTGAACAAACAAAGTCAGTCTGGACTTGAATACCTAACTGTGGTTGTTAAGTGTGCTGATATTACATCACGCGTTTCCCCGCCCTTCCTTATTCTACAACAAACAATTTGACGTGAAAATGAGCCATTATTATATATCTCTCCAAACCCACTTCCTCAATATTGCATCTGGTGGCCTTGAGCTCGTCAGTAATCCCGACCTTTTAATAACCGCCAGTCCTTCCGACCACTGGGTGCGCACCTCGAATCTCGCTCAAGAAATGTAGTTCTGCTATATTAGCAGGTTATTGATTAAGCTTTCTACCTTAGATCAGCAATCGAAAGAACGGACAGGTAAAGAATGTGTGTCATAATGCACTGTATGGATGAATTCCGTTCTAAAGACTCATAATACCCTTTGTTAGTGCGTATAAACATACGTAAACTGAAGCATATGAATGGAGTTCGTATCAAAGGCCCAAAACAGACAACGGAATGTGTAAAAATGTACTGTAAGTTTTTCAATATCGTTAATTACAATACAAATGTTATGCACTGCACTTGTTAGCCAGATGAGTTAGGTGGGCACAGATCCACCAGTAAGGGAAGCTGGCATAGAACCAGGATGGTTGGAGTCGGGATATGGAGTTTCTGTTGAGCAGCCCAACTCTGACCCATTCACAGGTAGACGTAATGTCGCCTGAATTTGTACGCTTCACGAGAAAATTGACATGTTGATGTAACACATTTTACCATTGTTTTTACTGCCCAAGAGACTTCAAAAGAACGACAATGAATCATTTTAAGCATACGAACAATTGCTTTATATTGTTTCACATGTCATAAAATGATAATAGCCTTTTATATCGAAATGGGTGCACTGTTAGAGGAAAGTTCTTTGTTATCTAGGAAATAAAACGGAGTTACGTGGGCTGTAAGTGTAGAATAAGCAAAATACATTCACGAAAAAAACGTTTGATGACGTAAAGATATGGATATTTTGTGTGATATATGCTGTCATTTCTGTGAGAAGAATATTCGCAATTCGCGGTTATCAAATTCTTGGCATTGAGCTGTTTTTTGCGTATATTTATCTTTTCCATTTTGTTTTGTTTGTTTGCCAAATCTGATGGAGCGCTACAAATTTGTCCGAGCAAATTTATTATAAGCCACGATTTGTAAGTATTTATATGTGCAGATGCGAATGAGCGAAGTCAGGTGAAATTGCCATGCTAAAGTATATTTAGATTCAGTTTGAGCAGTTGTGGTCATGCAAGTCCAGACATGCATGTAGGTTAAAACACTTTCTAAAGGACTAAAAGGAGAAGAAAGGTTATTTGTATTTAAGATATCACAAGGAGGCTGTATGAAGGCAGATGCAAAACTATTCCAATAGAATTTCGCTTTTAAATCTCCGAAGCCTTAGTCAGTGGTATTTTCTCATCACTCAAAATGTCTAGACATCATATTTTGGGCTGGAATATTGAAGGTCGTAATGTGGTTATGGTTGTTATTAGATCCAGATTTCATACAGTGTGTATCCTTCATTAACCTTGCCGATTTAAGATCAACATCTGACTGTAATTGAACGAATTCAACATGGTATCGGCAATTTATTATTTTATGTTCATTGCAGCCAAATCGTATCTGTATCCCCTGGTAATGTCATACCGTACCATGCTTAAAAGTTTAAGGAATCTAATTCAAGACCGTGTGTCTTTAACAAGCTTTGCAGATAGACTGTAGTTTAAATATATTGCAGTGCTTAAAGAACCAGACCTTACATTCAGTATACAAAACAGGTGCACATATATATTGTAATCTTGCACACCACACAACAGCAGTAATGACAATTGCAAATTAGGGACCGTCATAAACCAACTGATGCAAAGGTGCACCATGATATGTACATGGAATGCAGCCACCCACAGAAGCTATATCACAGGTTTGTTTTCCGTATTGGATATAACTCGTCAGTGAACCTTAATTCCAGAGAGATAAAGGATCTGCTGTCAAGCGGAACAAGGATGCCATAAAAAGGGGTATGTGTACCGAGGTGTTCCACCGCCCGCAGTTGTGGTGACAGGCAACGTGATGCGAATTATTTCATTATAAACGCGTTAGCCGCCCTGCTCCTCCTTAAAGAACCACCACACATCTCCTGTGTTTTGCATTATGTTTGTGGTATGGTATAAAGATATGAGTTATTTTTTACAAGTGTAAATTAAAGACTGATGATTTGAAAAAAAGTTTTAATATGTTTGGCATTAGCAATCATCTCACTTTGGAATCACATTTCATTAGTACATTCTTAAGGGAAAAGGTTTCTCAAATGTCATCTGTCAATAACTACTTACCAAATGCCAAATGAAGTATTTAACTTTAACAAAAACAACGGGCATTGATGCTGTTATTGGTGTGATGCTGTTCGACAATATTCGTAGTTTTATTATAAGTAAACTACAGCTGTCTCATACCATAAATGATATATTATGAAAAGTGTGTAAAAATTCCAAGTGCACACGTACAATCATGCATCTTTCGATCACAAGAACCATCGTGAATATTAATTCATTGACCACTGAATGTTAGAAGTTAAATGCCATTTCTTTTTATTTTTTCTGTGTTTTCAATGTTCCACTGACAATACATTTCATATTCTATTTGCAATAATTATACCTGACCTAGGTATAAGATTTTTGTATATCACACTTTATGTATTAACCATTTAATTAAAAAAAATATCCAACTTTATGTAAATTAACATCGGGGTAAATAGGTGGTCTACACTTCTTATTGCCAAATGTTAAGTACACAATTATCATACCTCTCAGTAACTACTCTTTTAGACATGAAAAGGATTCTTGCCGTTCAAGTGCATTAATTCTTTATATAGTGGAACAGTGACAGTGATATTTCATGTTTTTGTCAGTTCTAAAATACCGGTCTTACATTAAGTTGTGCCTTTGTTATATGCATTAATTGTCAATATAACTCTACAAGTGGATCATAAACGTGCACTGTTACATGTAGTACGTTGAGTGTTATTTTCGCTACGTGTTTTCGTCAGGTGTTCGCCACGCGTTTGCGGAGGAGCCGGGACAGATCCGGAGGAACATTTACTGGTTAATATGCCGCTCTAATTGGTAGACTACCATGTGGTATTAGCTAGATCACTTATTATTTGTGTTTTTGTTCAGATATAATGTTGATCTCTCTGTATATAATATATAGATAACAACTGTTTACAGAGTACATCTGTTTAGTAGAGAAGCGTCACCCAGTATCAGAAGTTGTTTGTCAGGTCGTGACGTGTCGCACACTCGTGTGTCAACGCATGTTGATAACAACACTTATGTATTAGTGCAATTAGCTTGTTGTGACTTGACGTCACATGGCAGTACACGTGATTTTTATATGTATGACAACACAAGGGACTTGACGTAGCTGGTAGCAACACAAAGTCTACTAATCTAGTTAGTTAATAACAAGACAAGAAAACCTCTTCAATGTATACAAACATCTTGGCGTAGCGTTGTAGGATATGGTCTATCCTATCACTTCCTGTTTACGGCTTTAATTTGTACGGCAAGACAAATACTCATTTTTTTCCTTGTAATGTATTATGCAATGACGTATTGTAAAGTCTATATTGCGTGTGAATAGGTATTTAGCAGACAGGGATGCAAATACGTGATACCTGCTAGTGACATAAAGCATCAGACAAAGCACGAAATATGTCTTCATCGTGGAATAGGCGGAGGTTTGTGAGGGTTTCTTATGGAAACTTGGGTTCTCAGTACATAAAATTATAACTTTATTACATGCTTCTTGTACATGTGTGTAAAATGTGGAGTTTTTCATTTTAATACTTTGATCATACTAGTATTACGTGAAAGAGGAATTCCTGTATTTTTCATGATCGCTACGATCGAAGGAAAACATGGTTATGTGCTACCATAAGAGTGACATGGTTTTTGCATCTTAAAAATCGTTTGGAAATAAGGGTTTATTTTATGACTGAGTATTCTACGGCTATCATTTTTGTTTGCGTTCTCCTCGCAATTCTTTCGTTTTCTTCTATCATCTTGTAGATTTTGCGGACAAAGTCATGAGTGCTTAGCTAGTGTCTTCTGCAGTGAATTATTTATGAACATGAAGCTAATTGTACTGTCATCTGTATTAAACGAAACCCACATGCTTTGAATAGGCATTGATGTTTTCTTTAGTCGAGCTAAAACGTCATAACTTTGCATTTGAAGAAAATCCTCTTCGATTTTGTGCATATAAAAGAAATTGTTGATTTTTCACATTTAAAGGCGAACGTGTGGATAAACTTTCTGTTGTACATGCATATAACTCTAGTGTCGAATGATTTGCAAGGCTAAAATATTGATATATTCTTTGTCAATTACTTTGAACCTCTTTCATCAATATTTTCCCCCAAAATATTGATATAATGTCGGTAACAAAAGATTGTGCATGTAAGACTTAAAAGAATATGATTTGTTTCTGATTCAAAAACATTCTACCT